GTGCTTTGAGAACCACAAATTAAATCACACTCCGCTTCGGGATCAAACCGGGGTGGAAAGTCTCAGGATAAAACTGAAACTGAAACTATCTGTATAGTTAAAACACCACTAAAAGGAGAGAATTACTGTCTGTTTTTTTAATATCCCACACTGTCTAATGGACCCGGAGTCCTGTATCTGAACCACATCTATCTGATCGCAGCTCATTCAGCCACTTCCTGCCTCCTTAATACTTTGTTTGGATATGAAGACGGATTGTATGCAGGGCTCTTTTTGAATCCCAGCACTGAGCAGAGGACAGGCCTGTTGATTCAACCATATCCTGTTAGATTTGTACACACACACACACACACACACACACACCTGCTTCGGTTTGCCAGCCATGTGTGCACCAGGGCTGACAGTAGCAGTTGTCTTGTTTTTTCTCTGGTTTTACTGATGTCGTTGCAGGCAGCAGTGGGTGGTGGTCAGCCCTCTCTGTCTGTCTCTCTGTGTGTGTGTGTGTGTGTGTTTGTGTGTGGCCCTGGTACAGTGATGAGCCTCTTCCCACTGCCGGACCCTGGGTGTGTGCACGCTTATTTTCACAGTTGGTATATCAGGCCTCAAATGGCTGTTGAATGGAGCTGGTCATTTTGGAGATGGCCCAGATTGCCTCTCCACCCTGACAGCTGCTGTCTCGGTGCCAGCAGCTTGAAATGTTTGATGACAGCTTGATTTCTTTTTTTTTTTCTGCCTTTGGGGAAACTAGAGGCTGTAAAATCCTACATCTGCTTGTTTTGAACGTAACGTGACTCAAGCTGCACGTTTACAGCAGAATTCCTGATTAATTGTTGTTGCTTTTATCATAATTGGTGGTTTGGTTGATTTTGTCCCCCTCTTTTCAGGGCAAGTTCAGTTCATTCATTTGGCTCATTTCTTACACAAAAGCCAGTCAGAGTGTTTTACGAAACCCATAGGAGATATTAGATTAGAAATAGAGGCGTTAAAGGTCCAGTGTGTAGTATTTAGTGGATCAATTGACATGTAAACAAGACTAAGAATATTTAATCATTAAGTAATTTAATAGATTTTGATTTTGAGATACCACGGTACTATACTTGGCCCTAATCATGATTTATTATTATTTATATTATTATTATTATTATTATTATTATTATTATTATTATTATTATACAGGCATATAGATGTATATAGTGTTTCTAAGCAGGGCTGTAGCTGCCACTGAGAACACCAAGGTCGCGTCCTCTGTGGTACTTTATGACACAAGAAGAAGTTTACACTATACAGTTATATACATGTTGTTTAAAGCTGATTCTATTCTGTAGACTAAATCTGTTTTTACCTAAATAAAGGACCACCAGATAAACAAACCTGGTCGCAGATCATAATGTATGTAGAGAGATATCATTTGAGACATGTTGTGATGTTAAATTAGATTTTTCTCACAGTTTGTTTGGTGGCTAGTCAAAGATTTCTTAGCTTTGTGGGATTGTGTAAGGTACTTTAGACTTTTGACCTCAGAATTTCTAAAATACTGGCTATATTTCTAATGTGCCGATAAGGAAGCATCAGCTTAGCAAGCAGCCTGGCTTGTACAGAAAATCGTTATCTTTGCTATCAGGTAATGATAAATATTAAACGGCTTTACTCTCCATTTGGCCCAACATCATAACTGTTTAATCTCAAACCACACACCTACACAGATTACTGAACTCGGCTTTTAAATTCGGCCCAGAGTGGAGCGAACAAGGGTCCTTTTCTTTTCTTTTTTCAAAAATCTGATTTACACTTTGAGGCAGGGTTGTGAGAAATGAGTGTAAAGTTGAGTGTAAAAAAAAAAATCCTGAAATAACCTGAAGAATCAGACTACTGTTTGGTTAACAATGGCTTTCCAGGAACGGTAACTGAGTGGGATGAAAAGAAATGAGCCTAACGACGGGTTATGCTTTTACAGAACAGGATGTAGCTCTCACTTGTGTTCAGATGGACCTTTTTTCTTACAGCGTTAATTTAACTTTAATGCTGCTGACTGGAGTCGTTGAGTCCTGATGAAGTTCATTAAGTAGGCCATAGGACACTGGGATGAATGGGAAACCTTATCCATCCCAGCACTGGACCACACCTCTGTAGATCAAGTTGTTGTGTCATATTCTCACTAAACAGTTGGACGGAGAGACAGACAGGTTGGCAGACAGGCTCTTCTCAAGCTCAAACTGTAGTTGTTGTTTTAGTAAATGTTTTACCCAGTGCTGCTCAAGGATCAGGGTAAGCGATACTACTGGAGAAAAGAAATGTAAGGTACCTTAATGTACACGGTAAAGGCCTTTGCTTGTTATGTTTTTATTCTGTATAATTAGAGATAAAGCTGCAGAGTTGGATAATTAATAATAAAATGTATTTGAATGCTGCTATTATAGCACTTTCACAGATCTAAATGTACACACGTTGCAAGTTTCAGTTAAAGCAAAGTTTTGCTGTATTGCTGAGAGTTAAATGAGAAGGCCAATACCGTTACACACGTCTTAGCTTTGCTTTGCTTTAAAAACTGGAAACGGAAGAAACGGACTAGCTTCTCAAAGTCCCACCAGCAGCATCTCTAAAAGATTAATTATTCATTAATTACCACACTATATCACATTTGTGTCGGACTGTTTCTTGGCTGGGTCTTTGCAGCTGGTCCTGGCCAGGATATAGTGCAGTACATGTCTCCACATGAAGCAGTTTTTCACCAGTTTCTGTACATATTAAACAACCACGATTATAGTATGTTAATTAGTGAGCTTTAGAGGTGCTGATAGGCAGATTTTGTTACTGTTAGAAAAAGCCACTACTTATTTACCGTACAGACCTGAAAGTGGTATCAATCTTCTAACGTGACTCACGGCAAGAAGGCAAATACTATTTCTTTTTAAAAGGGACCTCCAGTGATTCACGTCCATTAAGTTAGGGGACTTTTTAGAGACTGCTAAGAAGAAAAATCTAAATCAAAGCCGGCTTATGGGCTCAGACTCCATAAACCCTAGATCCTACATTTCCCATAATGCAACGGAACGGACTCTTGTTAGACTGTCCCGTCTTTTGTATTCTGTGTTTTGTAATTTGTCGTGTCCGAGCCAACGCTGAGGTAACCTTAATGACGCCACTGTGACATCATTAGGGTTATTTCCTCAGACTTGACAGGAGAGGACACTAACAACAGTTTTTTATAGGCGCAGTTAGTACTAAACATGATTAATAAAAAGGACTGCATGTAGAATATTGGTTGGAAATTGTATAAAATATTACTGAGAGGAGCTTCAAAAACAACCATGTGACTTAAACAGATCAGCCCACACAGACTGGAAGCCAGAATGTATAACATAAAACATATCATAAGCAGGCTAAAACTAGAATGGAAATATCAACAAAAAGGTACATTTATTGTCATCAGTGCGAGGCTAGAATTGCAAACCTGTTTCTTTGCTCTATTCAAGCTTTTGTTTCGTTTTGTTGAAAAGACATTGAGTCTCATGTCAGCTCCACTTTAAAAAAAAAAACACACCCAAACCACTCTCATTTTGTGGACAACTGGGTCAAATATAGGTGACCTCTATAATAAAAACGTTTCAGCTGAAAGGTCGGCGCTAAAACCTGACATCAGTCCCTCAGACTTGAACAGGAACAGCTTTTTTTTTAAACAATGAAATTCAGCAGAGAAGCAGAGTTTGACTAAATAATATTTGTGTTGTCATTTAATTGATTAATTGGCTTATAGTTGAAGCTCTAGTGATGATGATTTTAGTTGTTACTATGTGCTTTTGGTCCTGTAAATATAATAACATCAATATAAAGATGGTGCTGTGGTAATTATTGTGATTGCTAATGTTTCCTAGTCCTGAGGTCAGTTTATATGCCCAAACACACAAACATGACCATATTGTGACTTCAGTCATAATTTAATTAACTGTGCTGAAGCCTGAAGTCATCCTTTCAACTTTACCCATTTTCACTTATCACTTATATGTAATTTCTTCAACCAATGTAGTAATCCAGCTTCATGACACAGGCTGCAGAGCAAGAATACCGTTACATTTGTTATATTCACTCTTCAGAGGATGGGCTCTCTGTTTTGACCTCCTGACTTTTTATCTAATGTTATCATCAGGTCAGTATCTTCCTTGATCTAAACGTTTGACCTTTCTTCTTTATCTCAAAAACTGATTGCAGAAAGTGCTTGAAATGTACGGTCTGTATTCGTGCCCCTCGGAGGATGAATCCTTTTGGCTTTGGCGACCACCCTCACCTGACCACCTCGTACACAGGAAATCTAATGAGCAGATTACCCTGAAATTCACTGAGCACGTTTCATCCTCCCCAAAGGTTGATCTCAGACTAAAATGTCAACTTTGCACACAACATATCTCATCATTTAAGGTGATGAAACCCTTTGGATTTGAATTACTTTTCCTTTCAGTGCCGACCTCACAACAAACTTCCACCATTAACGTTATCGCCACAATATTTGCTCTGCCCTACATGATTGTATTAAACCTTTTAAGCGGTCACTGGAGGCGATTTAGACTCTCTAAGGCCTTTGGATACATATGAGCGCTGCAAGGCTTTGTCTGTGGTTACTATAGCTAATGAGATAGATGTTCATGTGTCTGTGGAACTTTGTTGTCTGTGACAGATATACAGAGCTGTAAATCAGCTGCTGTGATCCGAGTCTCCAGAATCAGTGAGAGCTGCTCCTCATTTTAAAATGACTCATCTTGTAGTGAAATATGGACAGTATTACTGTAATTGTTATTTTTATGGGGTGGCGGGCTAAACCTTAAGGCCAGATTGTTATTTTGGCCAACGTTTCTCTGTCTGGCAGGACAAGTTCCAGCTGAGCTTCCACAGCCATTAGATAAAAACACTGTTTAGATTTAGTTTATTGCCGCTCTAAGAATATGTGGTTTCTTACATTACGCCACTTAAATCTCCATGTGAATCTGCACTTTTCTCAAGATGCTTCAAAGCAGCTGAGAAGGGACAGATCCTAAATCTTTAATGTGCTTTTTGTAGTTTGTCATGCAACTCAATATCTTAAATGAGTGTTCGTTTGTGTTGCGTGATATTCAAAGGGCAGATTCCTCTTTGCTGCAGAGATACCATGTGGTCAGCGTGAAACATGACCGTTCTGTGCACTTAACATGGCGTAAAGGCGCAGAAAGACTGTACATAAGATGCTCATTCTTCTGCCATTAATAAAGATAAAAGCTCATGATGACACACTAGGAAGAGGCTGTTAGTCATTTGAGTTTTGTGGTCTGGAAAAGGCATGTTGTTGAGGTTTTGCACAGGGCTGCAGGGATCCAGAATCTTCTCTAGTCTGGTAAGACTTAGTGGGCACTTCCTCCTAAGACAAAATATGAATAAAAGACAGTAAAACAAAGGAGGGAACAAGGAATAAGAGAGACAAACTCACAGAAATCCCACAGACAGATTCGTCGTTGCGCAGTATTTTGGCTTAAAGGGAAGTTGATTTTAAACACAATGGCGTTGATGGAGCATAAAAAACCACATTAAGTTAAATCAGGACCCCGTAAGACGGCGATGGCAGCTAACGTCCCTCTCCATTTCCCACAGAGGGCCAATCAAAGCCAGCGCGCCCCACCCGCCCTTTATCAATTAACCACCATATGACGGTTCAACATCCGTCATGCCAACACTTTTATTTTGGCGATTTTTTTCGGCAGCGTGGAGAACAGAGTGGCAGAGGGCGGCGTAAGGTCAGGTTTCCACGGCAACTGTCAACCTCCAATCCCCCCTCCAGCTGAACACCCGCTTTCATCGCCATGGCAGCAGTGAGGCCCTGTTTCCCAGGGGACGAGGGGAGTGAGGGAGGGAATGTGAGACGGCGAGAGGGAGGGAGAGGGCAAACAAGTTTTGTGAAAACACAGTAATCCAATATGGCCGCCATTGTGTCCGAGCTAACGGCGGCTAAAGCTGGCTCCTCGGCGAGAGGAGGTACAGTCGTGTGATGATTAACTTCGGCCGAGACCTGGAAGACGTGATATAAGAGCACAGAGCTGAGAGACTAAAGGCTCAGTTTAGTGGGTTAATGTGTGTTGGTGTCACTCGGAGGGTCGATCACAGGGCTCAGTGTGCCGGGGTGAGAGGTCACGACAACCACACACACACAAACGGGGTCACTTTACATCGTATCTGTGCAATTATACGCCCTCTTGAAACCCGACACTGATGGTCTTTTAGGGACTATTTTATTGTGCAGTCGTTGCTAAATTGGCCAATTTTCATACCTGAACATTCACATTTTTTCGGTGATTCCCTCACAGTTTTGTTTTTGACAGTTTAGATCATTATGGTGCTTTAAAACGTCCCAATTAAACCAAACCTGAAACAATTTGCAGTTTAATTACATTTTTAGGGAAAGAATGACAACCATTAGTTTGTTCCCACTCCTCACATGTGGAGATTTGCTGCTTTTCTCTGTTTTATATAATTGTAAGTTGAATATATTTGGATTTTGGGCTTTGAGCTGGATAAAACAGACAAACTTGTGTTACTCAGTTTCAGACTTAAGATATTTAAGTTATCAACATTAGCCACTAAGCTGCTGGTCCGAACAAGTAAGGCTGTAAACCCTCAGTGGAGACAAGAGTGGACAAGAATGTGTTTCATAGCTTATGAATCAAACTTCTCATTTGTAAGAAGAGGGTTGTGTGATTTTCTTCTTTAAAAGGTTTCATAATCTGATTATTATTGATTACATTACTCACTGTATTAAAGGGCCAGTGTGTAACATTAAGGAGACTCTATTGGAAAAAGTGGAATATAATATTCATAGGTATGTTTTCATTCGTGTATAGTCACCTGAATATAAGAATGGTTTCTGTTACCATGAATGAGCCGTTTTATATCTATAGACGCTGTGGAGTCTGCCATGTTACTACAGTAGACCAGATGGGACAAACCAAACACTGGCTCTATACGGGGCCTTTTGTGGCCACCATAGTTTCTCCTTTGCACTAAGAATGCCTGGGTGATGTGACAGAGTTGCGATGTGCAACTACACTGCGAGATGTCGGCTGCCGGACCTTTTTTAAAACCTTTTTTTTGAATGCCTGATACGAAGTGTTTCCAGATGATGTTTTATCTTGTAAATTATACCAAGCCCATAATGCATAATATAAAGAGGAAGTTCAGAATAGACCCATGGGCCCTTTGAAGTGCATCCATCTAGATTGTCTGGTGTGATAGCTGTTAGAAGCACGAGGCAGGAAGTTCACAAAGAGTGGCTTGAGTAAATACACATGAACCCTCCCCTGCGTGTTTAGTGATGTCCATTCCCTTAACGTCTATAATTATGACTGATGAGTATGTTCAGAGTCACTCAGAATGAGGCGGTTGCATGCACCACAATCTAGAGCAAGTCTGAAACAAGTCAGTGTTTCAAAGTTTTAACCGTGATTCTCCCGTTTGCTCGTCTCTTTCAGATCGCAGCCACCTCAGCTCTCCCCTGCTGCGACTCTCCTACCCACCGTCCTCTCCCACCCCTCTTCTCCTCCTCTCTGTAGCCTCCCCCCGCTCTCCCTTCTCCCTTCTCCTGCTCCATCCTCGTCGGCCTCCAAGATAGATTCCCTCAGGAGCAAGGTTGACCTGCTCAAGCTGCCCCTCGCTCTCTCCACCAAGTCCATCTCCGAGCGCAAGAGCCAGCTGGGAGGAGTCGGCGAGCAGCGCGGAACGGGTGGAGGAGGAGGAGGTGGGGCCCGTAAAGCCCGCTCACTGACGACCCGAGACATGGACAACGAGTCGCAGTACTCGGGCTACTCATACAAGTCCTCCCACTCCAGAAGCTCCCGCAAGCACAGGTAGATATGACACCGGTCGCACAGAGGACGTCATCTTTCTCTCGCTGGCGTTTTAGCAACAGCTGATTATATTCAGCTTTCTTTCAGTACTTTTTTATGTTTGTGACCATTGTTTTGTTCTCATTTGAAATATCTACATCCACAACATAACTAGAGGCTACTTTTTGTAACAGTTTATTATTTTCAGGGTGTTTATGATTGCAGAATCTTCTAAAAATTCACTTTAAATGTAGATAAACTGAAGGAGGAAGTGTTTCTTAATGGCTTGAGACAATTCTCCTACATCCTTAGCAAAATCTACCATTTAAAAAAACCCATTGGATTAGTTGAAAAATGCATTGCCAAGCAGAAACAAGGCTGTTTTTGGTGATAGTTTGGAAATACATGGTTTTCACAGGATAGCAACTTGAATCTTGTACTTGTACTGTAGTGCACCCTGAACATGCTGCATCAAAACTTTGACAGGGAGAGTAAAAGAAAGTCATTGCTGCAACATCACCTGTGTGTCGCTTGTCTTCCAGGGATCGGAGGGATCGCCACCGCTCTAAGAGCCGAGACAGCAGCAGTCGTGGAGACAAATCGGTCACCATCCAGACTCCCGGAGAGCCTCTGCTGGATGCAGAGTCGACCCGCGGAGATGACAGGGTCAGTCACACCGCTGTTCTTTCCATTTTCAAGCCACTTTTATCAATGACGTCGGCTGTTCCAGATGTGTTAATTTCTTTGTAAATTCTTAACTTTAGCTCCTTTACCAATTAGAAACATAGATAATTTAAAGGTTCTTTGCTCCTATAAATGTTGTTTTTTTGTCCTGCATGAAGTCATTATCACCAGGGTAACAGGTTTTAGTCACACTGGATGCTAAAAGTTGTGTTCCTTACAGCGTGGATAAATGTTTAACTAAGGTCAAACACACAGAAGTAGGAGCGGTCCTGTAAATAGCAACCTGGTCTTCTACTTTCTTAGGTCGCAGACTGAAACTGTGACCTTACTGCTGTTCTTGCTCTTATTAAAATATAGTAGATAGATTTAAGTTGGCCCAACAAATTTTATTTTTGTGGCACACCTCGAGCCAGTTTTAAAGAATATAATTCTCCTGATGTGTGTTTTGTAGGAGCTTGTCACTTCATTTCAGTCCAGTCTGCCTTTTCAGTCAGTTGGGAAAAAGCAGGTGTTGACATTTGTATAATTGAGTCTTGGGGCACTGAAGAGGTATTATGTGAGGTTAAAAGGAATGTGTTCATTAAAAAGACTGAGGATGTTTGTTCCTAGATCAAGTGAAGAGGGGTCTTTCTTTAAATAGTAAGGAGGCATTTGCATTTAAGCTTAAGGACACAACTTGGATACACAGGGGGCAGAGAGGTTAATCCCTCCCATAACTTCACAGACATTTTAACTTTTCTTATGACAGAGTTTAGTTATTAATTTAATTTTTCTATTTAGAAAGGAAGGATTAAAATGTTATCTAAAATGAAATTATGCTTCTATTTTTGCTCAAGCTCTCCCCGCCTTCTAAACACACCTTTCATATAAACCTCCTGGGTTTCTGCCTCTTTTGCAGGAAATATTTTCACTAATTGTTTGATTAATTGCTTAATTGTTAACTATAAATGTGCTATTCAGATCTGGTTAATCATTTTACCCATAAATATAGTAACATATCTTGTTAAAACCTGCAGAAAATATCAGATAATATGATTTTTTCATTTTAATTTCTCCTTGTAATCCTTTGGCGCTGTTTCATAGGCTTTAGAGACAGTGAAAATTAAACCTAAACACACATTAATCTTTCTATCCTCCTCTTCGTCTGACAGGATGATAACTGGGGCGAGACCACCACCGTCGTTACCGGCACCTCAGAACACAGTATCTCTAATGAGGACCTGACCCGCGTCACCAAAGATTTGGAGGAATCGACTCCGCTGGAGTGCAAGCGCTTCGTTGGCCCGGCTTTGGGAGGCTGCCTGAGCTTCTTCGCCCTGGTCACGCCTTTAGCCTTCCTCATCCTCCCGCAGGTCCTGTGGCGTGACGCCCTCGAGCCTTGCGGGACGCCCTGTGAAGGCCTCTACGTCTCTCTGGCCTTCAAGCTCCTGGTCCTGCTCATCTCCTCCTGGGCGTTGTTTCTACGGCCTCCTCGCGCCACGCTACCACGCTTCTTTGTCTTCCGCTGCCTGCTGATGGTGCTGGTGTTCCTCTTCGTGGCGTCTTACTGGTTGTTCTATGGCGTGCGGGTGCTTGAGCCCAGGGAGAGGGACTACAGGGGGATTGTGGAGTACGCCGCCTCGCTGGTGGACGCTCTGCTCTTCATACAGTACCTGGCTCTGGTGCTGCTGGAAGTCCGACACCTGCAGCCGGCCTTCTGCCTCAAGGTGGTCCGGAGTACGGACGGAGCCAGCAAGTTCTACAACGTGGGCCACCTCAGGTCAGTGAGATGGCAAACGAAATGCTACAGAGTTCTTGATACTTATGTTACTGAACAAAGAGGACTTATTTCTAGACAAAATACCAAATAATGTGATTTTATTTCTTTGTAAAAACAGGATACTTCCATGTATAACAAAATATTCTATGCTCTGAGGTCCACTTACTACTTTTACTTTGATATTTCCACTGGAAATCACCTTTATTAGAACATTTCAAACCCTGTGTAGAGGCTTTAAAGTTTAAGTTTGTGCCGTCAGTTTATTCCAATTTTCGAAGTTGGAACCAAAATTCTCTCACATGGCACAAATAAAGGGTTTCACTAGTATTACTTCTGAATATTAAATATATTTGAAAATATTATTTTCCTCAAAGAAGTACCTGTGTACCAACAGCTTCTGGATGCACAAGGACATAAAAATCAGGGTGGAAATGAGTTTAAACCAAACTATTCCTTGACAATAATATGTGTACATGTGTAACTTATTAGAAATGTGACTTAATACAGTCATGTCCGAATTAACCGGCTGTTCCTACTATATTATGTATTTTCTTTGCTGGAATACTGCTTGGACCCTGATTGGCTGTCCTGTAATTTGAATAAACACAGAAATATCAGAATATGCATGATATAAGCAAAAACTTCAAGATAATTAAAGTCTGGAATGTAAATCGTGACCCTCTTCAAGTCAGGGCCTCAATATAATAAAGATGGTAAAGTAAGACCTACTTTAAGGCCCTCATCTTGTTAGTTTTTACCTCACTGGTGCATATTCCCAAACAAACTTTGGAGTAAATTAGAAAAATGTAGTTGACAGAAGATTTCCTTATTTCAGTTCACTCTTAGATACAAGAACCTGATTTGTGAATTGTCCTGTATTACTTTTGACCGTTATTATCATGTGATACGTGTGTGTACAGTTCATATCCGTGTGCAATCAGCAGCTGGTGTTAGACCTGTACTTACTGTGGCACTGACGATTGACACGCTGTGTTTTCAGTATCCAGCGGGCAGCTGTCTGGGTGTTGGACCGTTATTACAACGACTTCTCCGTCTACAACCCTGCCCTCCTCAACCTACCCAAGTCCATCCTGTCCAAGAAGATGACCGGCTTCAAGGTTTACTCCCTGGACGGTAAATACAGCCTCATCACGCCTATGACGCCTGTTTTCTAATCCATAACGTTTTTATTTCTTGGCTTGTACGTCGGGACAAGATGATACGTTCACTGACACATACTGAGGTTAAACCTTAAAGCAGCTAAAGGTCTTCAGCAAACATTTTCCTTCACTCAGATCTGAATGAGGCTGATTTTACACACCTGAAACTACTCTACCCCACTGCCATACTACTATTATTTTATTCCTGCTCTCACTTGAATATGAGCATTAACTAAATACCTGAAATGCGTTCTGCTAATTCCTCCCTCTGCATGTATTGTCTTGCAGAAAACACCACGAACAACTCCACAGGCCAGTCCCGGGCCATGATAGCAGCCGCCGCCCGGAGGAGAGACAACTCCCACAATGAGTTCTACTACGAGGAGGCCGAGATGGACCGCAGGGTCCGAAAACGCAAGGCCAGGTCAGATAGATAGTCCCTTTTTTTTTTTTTTCTTTCTTACAAACATCGGGTGTAGCTGGGGATTCATTATGATGTGTGATTGGTGGAGCAGCAGACAGACAATGAAAATACAGAGAGAGAGACAATGTGTAGTCTTTGTCTGTGTGTGGAGAGATAGAAACCCATGACTGAAGTGAGAGGGTAAACACTCACTATAAGATTTTTTGGTCTGAATCCATGTTTCAGTTCCATCAGAACAGTGGGCACAAAGGAAGATGAGTTGAGAACCGTGTTAAAAAATACAGATTGTTAGTTAGTACACAGATATTATATGTTTAGGATGTTTCTCAGTGTCTCCTCTCTCACCTTACAAACAATAAAGCAAACAAGGAATGGGGAAACAAGGGAGACAGAGAGTGTGGGCAGATGTGACTTTCTAAATGAGAAATTGCTGCAGATAAAACTCAGCAATAGAACCAGACTGATAAACTGGATGAGCTAAGCCAATATCAGCTTAGCACCCATATACGCAATATGCTTGTGTGTTGGCCGATAAGTAACAAAAAAGAAAGTTGTAAAAAAAACAAAAGATTCTTTTACAGTGATTAAGAAACATTGTTACTGTTAATTTCTTCACCAAAGAACATTTTTATGTTTTATGTTATGATTATTTTTTAACTGTAAAACGGCTGGCTCTGTACATTTCTCGGTCCTTTTGGTTTTTAAATACATACATTTTGAGGGATCTTCTTAAAAAAGTGTTTATGTTATAAAATGAATATTAGCAGATGTTTCAAACTCAGTATTGAATTATTATTGGTCTCTACCTAGCAACACTTGGCGAGGTGTCTTGCAGATAGCATAATGATTAGTTCATGACAGAAGGTCATTTTGTGTAGTCGGTTTATATCGAGCTGTATTTGCTGGTATTAAACCTGTCTGAGTCTGCCACGTGTGTGAATGGACACTGGGTCTTGTAAATTAATAAAACTGACTCGTTTAGGGAATAATTGATCCTTTTATATTTAAAGCAGGGCTGCCCAAAGTGGGGCCTTCGGGCCAAAGTTGGCCTGCCATAAGCTTTGATTTGGCCCACCAGATGTTTATAGCGACAAAAAATAAAAATAAAATTATGATACAATAAAAGTTTTATTTATTGTGTGGTTAAAAAAAAAAAACCCTTTTAAATGTAGGATTCCTAATTATTTTATAATCTGAGCATAGTGGGCAGAGTGACACACAGGAAGTCGGTCAATTAAAGGATCTTAGTACCATTTTGCATCTTAATAATACAGTACAGTATGTGTTTGCTTTTGGCCCGTAACCCACCCATCTTTCAGTTTTGGACCCCCTGATTTAAAGGATGGTAATCATAATTTATCTTTTATATTTTCCTATAGTGTTTGCATGTTCATCAGAGCCAACATGTCCCTGCTTTGAAATGCAAACTCACCCCTCATAATACAGAATCCTCTGTTTTGTATAGAGATTATGTTGAGAAATAACCACTAAAACTGACGATGTTTATAATGATGCTTTTTGTCGTCCCTCTAGGTTGGTTGTGGCGGTGGAAGAGGCCTTCACACACATCAAGCGTCTCCACGAAGACGAGGTCGCCTCATCCCCCAAACACCCGAAGGAGGTGATGGATCCTCGGGAGGCGGCTCAAGCCATCTTCGCCCCGATGGCCCGAGCCATGCAGAAATACCTGAGAACCACCCGGCAGCAGGCCTTCCACAGCATGGAGAGCATCCTCACACACCTGCAGTTCTGCATAACACATAACATGACGCCCAAGGTAACGACAGAGAAAACCTGAACTTACTCGACTTTTATTCAACCAAGTTGCCGAATTCAGTCCAGCTGCTTTTTTGAGGACTCTAAGGTCCTTTTTTAACATTGTTTTTGGGAATGTGGGCATTTATAGTTCTATAGTTACACACACAGAAAACTCATGCTGCGTGTTTTAAGACTAAGATTTTGATATTATTTTAGATTCAAAATCTTAAATGCAAAATAAAATTAAATAAAAAGGAATTCACTATTTCTTCCCTGAAATTGTATTGATAAGGCTTTCCAATTAAAACATCTTCCAGTGTTTCCATGGTAATTAACCTCCTGCATCCTCCCTGTCAGGCTTTCCTGGAGCGATACCTCTCCCCAGGCCCCACCATGCAGTACCAGCAGCCGAACGGCAGGGGGCGCCAGTGGACTCTAGTGAGCGAGGAGCCGGTGACCTCAGCCCTGCGCCAGGGTCTGGTTTTCTCGCTGCGACGCCTAGACTTCTCCCTGGTTGTGACGGTGACGCCGCTCCCCTTCCTGCGGCTGGGGGAGGAGTTCATCGACCCCAAGAGCCACAAGTTCGTCATGAGGCTGCAGTCGGAGACCTCGGTGTGAAGGCGGTCTCGTCTTTTTCCCCACTATGTCCTCCTCTTCCTTGCGCTCGCTCTCCCGCTGGATCATTCTCGTGGC